AGAAATAAACACAACAGCAAAAAATGGAACAAAAATACAAAAATAACCAAAAGCAAAGTTTCAGGATTTAGTATTACAGTCTTACCACTTATTCTAAAAATATCAAAATGTACTGATTATGATTATGGAAACAGAAAACTACTGCGTACTATACAGAGAAAAAAGGTGCAATAAAAAGCCATACAGTCCTATGCAAGGAATATCCCAACTTTGAATTGTAGGCAAATCATACCTAAAACAAATATTAAGTCAACTATGTAGTTGTCCACTAAAATCAAAGAGTTTGAGACAAGCAGAAAAACTTGTATGATTCTCCAGGCACTGGCGTATACCAAGCATTGCAAGCACCAGTGCTGCTTAAAATTTCTCCATTGTATGCAAGCTGCCTTTATTATTTATAATGTTGACAGAGACGAAACCTAAGTAGCTTTCAAAAAACAGTCTTTCTTACTTCTTATAGAGAAGGGCATGTACTGTGACACAATGCTAATATTTTTCTTGCAAATGTAAACATTACTTGCATAAGTACCTTTTGAATCAATAAAAGTGATTATTTAAATTCTTTTATCCTGGAAGCATCAAATTTGCCATGACTGATGTAATCATCCATTAAATTAATATTCATTACTTGTAATATATATATCATGCTGCCCAGGGTCTCTACCATATCTTGTGACACTATAATCCAGTGTGCCCTACGTGAAAATGATATCGATGTTTTCATTCTAGATTCTACATCTGAAAGTTCATTTCTGTGAAATTTCAAAATGAATAAACAGATATATGTTATATTTTGCATACAGATTTTTGTCACTTTCAGAGGAATAAGTTTAAAAATAAAATTGTCACAGTAAGTAGCAGCACCCTGTTAATTTAATCTATTTCAAATGAAGACAAGTGTTTTTTTCTTTGTTCAAGCTTGAGTTAAAGATCATCTTATGATACTTTAAATTGTTCTAAAAATGTTTTCAGAGCAAAAAAAAAAAGGCTTCTGTTTTTTGAGGATTTTTTATATGAATTTCATCAAAGATAAAGATTTAAATTAGCTAAATGTTTGATTTATTTTATTTTTATAAAAATGAATTTTGTTTTTAAAATTTAAATCTTTCTATGAAACATTTTAATATTTTTTAATAATGTTACTAGTACATGTACAATAACCAATTCTCATTTTCATTTGTTTGAATACATGCTTTTTCAATAAATAAATTTAACAAAATTAAGAAACTTTCCTCTGTACAAGTAAAAAACCCCATGTGATAACAGATGTACATAAATCCAGTCACCAGAAACAACATAAAAACAAATAGACAGGCTAATGTTTAAAAACATTCTGCTTTTTAAAATATACAAGGCAGCAATTTACACAGATATGAAAATACTAGTATACCAGGTAAGTATCAGACTTGAAGGAGTCATGCGAAGCCCACTCAATCTTAAATTGCAGAGAGATTGAACTACAAGTTCACCTCTAAACCCTAGTCTTCTGAAATCCTTGACTTTTAGGTCCATCTCACCCGTCTAAATTCCATCAAAAAGAACATCACTACAATAATAAGGTGAAAACCTACCCGTGATCTTCTAAGAGACTTTATTCCCTTCTCCAAGAAGGCCACATTTTCTCGGTGGTTAGCGATAGTCGTCATTCTTTTCACTTGAAGTTGATCAAATAATATTTAGCTCAGCTGTTTTAACTTTTCCCCTTTTTCCGGTCGAAAACTTTTGTTGGTATTAAACACTACTTCTTTCACAACTGGCACCATTTTGACGAACATATATCGTTCCTAAAAATCCATATTGAAAAGTGTTCCTACATATTTTCCTTTAGGTTAATTCGTCGATAAACTTTAGGAAAACGACAGCGACTGTTGAAACGGCGACCCCTCATGTTTACAGTAGTCCGCCATATTTGCCCTAGATATGCAAATAGGATGTAGTCATTGACGACCAACAAGTGCGTGATCACGTGACCGTAATTGGCTAAACGTGAACTACTACTACATGTTAAAGTTATTTCGATTTAACGCATAAAATTATTTGTTCAAGAGATAAATGTAAAAATTGACAACTAAGCAGTTTTTAGTTAAGATAAGTCTATTTTATTGGTAATAAGATGAATAGAAGAGATCTAAATTTATGAATATAGGAAACAAACTGAAAGAGTGGATTTTACTTGAAAAAACGCATATTAACCACTAAAAACGGTTTTACATCTTTTCCATTTGGTTTTTTACATATATATATCCTTTTGTTCTGTTATATACTGTAAGGCATTATTAAAAGACCTATGCTACAAATATGAATGCATCATTGAAAAGCAAATATAAAGTTGCTGGGTTATCTAAATTTAAATCTCACTTTCAAATTTAACCAATTTTAAATTATTAATAAATAATTTTTTTTAAAATAATGAAGAAATAACAGAAAATGAAAAAAATTAAACTCACTGTAATTTGCATTATAACACCTTTATCATTTTATTCATGCAGTGATGAAATAAATAATTTATCCATCAAAATTCAGATAGGAAACCTGAACTATTTGTTGAATCAATCAAACAATCAACCCATTAAAAATTCTGAATTGCATACACAATCAATCATTGTTCAATTAAGTATTTTAACAATAAATGTTGCTAAAAAGTTGTGTCCAATCTACAGGTTGTTTAAAGTTTAACCTACCTTTTCTCAATAAATTAATGAAATTCATGTGTACTCAAAATAGTACCATTGGCTATGACAAGTGCAAGTATGACCTTCAAATGGTGCAACAAAAGGTGTCCTTTTGAGAAAAAGGCCAACTGGAATTAATAAATAATCATACAAACACTCATGACTCTAACAAGCATTGACTATAGAATCTGGTTACGTCCTGAATTTTCTTTCTTTTCCTTTCCCACTCCCTGACTCTATTATAAATACTATACAACTCCAGTCATTCATCCTATGCAGTGATGCCACATTTCTGGTTGCAAAGTCCTATTTTATCCTCAATTACAAAAGTGTTCTTCTGAAATCCATGTCAATGCAATGTCAAAGTAACATCATTGATGTCAGGTTGTCCATGTTTTTGGCCAAGCTATACACACATGACTCCTGATATGCGACACAAATTATCATTGTGCTGTTACATTTTGTTAACTTTTTTTATTGTTTTTTTTTTTTTTGCCACTGCTTTGCTTAATTCTCTCCTTCATATTAATGGGCCCTGCATTATTCATTATTTTGTGTTGATTTGACACTTTTGTCTTTTTTCTTTGTCTGCTTTTTTCTTCTGTCACCTTTTTGAAGCTTTCTCATGGTAAATGTGATGCACTGTGAGAAAAGAAAAAATTACAAAATAAAGTGATGATGATCATTTAATTCTGAACAAACATACCATAAAAAAAGAATTGTGAAAGAAATGCCTTATAATAATCTAAATTCATCTGAAAGGTGGCACCGATATATATTTGTGCAACCTTGAAGCAAGAATCCAAATTAAAAGCTTTTCAATTATGTTTGCTGAACATAAATGATATCACAAAATCTTACAAAAATTTGATATCCTGGCCTTAATTACTCAAGAATCTTAATAAACAACACATCGATCCTGAAAATAAAATCAGGAACTTTTTGCAATTGAGAAATACCTTTTCATCCAGAAATTCCATCAGTTTTTGCTGTCCACATCTGATACCTGCTGCATTAATGGCATCCTGTAAATCTCCCAGCTCAAGAGGCTAAAATAAAATATGCAAGACATTTTTTTCTTAAATATTATCTTAAATTTGCTGTGGCATTTATATAGTTAAAAGCATTTTGAATCTCATATAAAATAAGATTTTCCTTACAAAGTCAGAATCCAAAACACATTTTCACAAATAAAACACATTTTCTTATACCTAGTTTTATTGTGAAAACAGTCACTTACCTCATAGTGTAAAATCTTCGAGTGAAGTTGCTTATCAGACAGAATAAAACTCATTAGTTTGGAGTGAAGGTCTGCAGATGAAACCTGTATTCAAATAACCAAAAGCAGACATTACCTAGAGAGTGGGACTGAAAGCTGGAGCAGATGTTTGTCATCCAATCTAGATTTCATCTTCTCAAAGATACTGGAAACACTCCAGACACAGATACTTTGTTTACTATAATAGAGAACTAAAGGCATTTTACGAAACAAATATCTTGATATTCACGCTCAACCTCATTCATCGATTTACAGGCAATATACTGGTAGGTCAACTGGTTGCATAAACCTCCTCTTACCTGCTGAGAAGGTGTAATATCTTCATCTTCTTCTGGCATAATAGTTTCTTCCAGCAAAGCTTCCTCCAATCTCTCTCTGAAGTAGTCATGTTTATATTAACCACCACACACCAGTCAATTTAGAATTCCAATCTTTGAAAAATTTGACAATCCAAATTCATGCATTTTTTGAAAAATAAATGGAATGTTATTGTAAAATTAGCAAAAACTCCAACTGATATAATGATTTTATATATTCTTTATAATTCACAGTTCGAAATTTATCAACATTTTTCATTTTCATAATATTCAGACAAATTTAATTCTGAAACATGTAACTTTTCACAACTGTCACAACATGTCAACATGTAGAAAATAAGATGATCAAATTATTTTCAAGTCTTAAAATGATCACATTTCTTTAATATCACACTAATGAGAACCAACAAAATGGCCCTTACTCTTCACTTTCCTCCTGTGTGCTAAAACTCTCTTCTTCCTCACTGGAGATTTCATGTGCCTTGGTCCTACTCTCAGGAACAACAGACTTTGCTCTAGTAGCACTTATCTGGGTTTGTCTTGAAAGAGTGCCATCTGGGGAGGAATTTACTTCAACTTTATTTGTGCTTTTCTTAGGTGCTGCCACCTTTCTTTCAGTCCCAGATACAGAAGCTGCCAACTGTTTGGTTTTTCTTGGACCCCTTGGTCCCCTCTTTATCCCTTTAGGCTCTTTGGTGGCATCTATGTTTGGTAGGCCATCACTGGTATCACCACTATCAGGTCCAACAGCCTTTGCAGGAATACCTACGTCATCTGATTTTTCGTTGTGGAAGCTCATTTCACAGTCTGTGTCAGTTTCATCTGCAAATAGATGGAGCACACTTTCTGAATATATTTATTAAAAAGAATATGACAAAATCTTGTTGTTCTAGTTATTACTCATAATTCTACACAAAACTCTCTCAGAGGTTTCTTGTATATTAAATTCACAAACGCTTCAAGTCAGACACATATCAGTATGAACTCTAATAATACACATTACAATAATATATAGTCTGAATATCAAGACAATTTAATTCTTCTGGTACTAACATTGGTGAGTTTCCTTGTATATATGGGTTAGAAGGGTTCTCATACGTTTCTTTGCCATGTTTGGTCGTACCCCATATTTTTGCACTGCTCTCTAAAAAGAAAAAATAGGAACAACTTTGAAACTTTAAAAAATAAAAAAAATCATGATATAATTCAAATGTTGAAAGGTATGAAAAAAAACCCTTTAAATTCAGTCTGCAGATTTTTCACTGAAACTGCATAGAAACCATGTTATAATCTTATTGTTTCCATAATAATTACAATAAATTTTTACTACCTTTAATTCTGGTGTGACCATGTCATCATAATTAGGCATAGGAGTAAAGGGAGATGGCACAGTTGGTCGCTTGAGTTTCTTCTGAAACACGGGTGTGCTGGTTTCCTTTAACCAGAGAAATTATCATAAGAATTTTAAGTGAGAATGAAATAAAAAATACTTCATATATGGCTTGCTAAAATATGTATTAAAGTGATTGTTTGTTACAGAAAGTTCACTGAAAATACCTTTACACTATTTAAGTATATCCAAAGTTCATGGAAACTGAACGTTCACATTGAAAAGACATTTCGTTAAGTGAACTAGAATTTGTTATGGTCTGATGCAAACATCTAAAATAAATCTGCATTTCTAACAACACTAACTTTCTTAGGATCAGCATTTTGCTTTGCCAGATCTAGAAGTGGTTCATTTTCTTAACTCCAACTCACTTAAAGCATCTAAAATAAATCTGCATTTAAACAAGTTACAACACTAACTTTCTTAGGATCAGCATTTTGCTTTGCCAGATCTAGAAGTGGTTCATTTTCTTCACTCCAAATAAAACTATCAAGACCAAGCTCTTCAAGTTCTTCTTTAGGAAGCTTCTCTGGAGCTGTTTCTGCAAGTGGTACCACCTGCTGTTTCTTGGGCTGAGATGTCTGCTGTACAGTATCCTAATAGCAAACAAATTGACACATTTAACTCATGACACGTAAAACACAATTGTTATCCCAATAACAATCACTGCATGGAAACATACAATCTGGAAAAATTTGCATAAAGAAATTCTGCACTTTGCACATATCTGCAAAGATGTTATACTACAGATTAAAATTTTTGTGTTCAAATTATTGAATTATCTTCTTCTTCACAAATCAAATCAAAATCTTACCAATTCTTCATCAGTTTCTATGAAAGTGGGTGGGCTCAAATAGCCACCATCACCATTATCATCATCTTCATCCACATCTCCTCCATTTTTATCTCTGTTCTTTTTGTGTCTCTCTTGTTCCTTTCTCACATATCCAACAAGCTCGCTACCACCAAGTTGTTGACTGGGGGATACTGGGAAGTCTACAAAGCCACCACCATCATCAAAGTCGTCCCACACCCCAGGGTCTGGGTTGTCTAGGCTCAGGTCCACTAAAATACAAAATGTGTTAACAACTTCTAAACATGGGATTACTGATGTTCTGCTTATTCTTTTTAATTGGTCAAGTTATTCACTGCTATAAATCTTAATATTTGTATAAAAATTGCATGATTGTCTTTGATCTCTCATTTAAACAATCATAAATCATCCTACTAGGGTACAGTACTGGGTAAGAATAAACAACACCTTATATTACCTCTTAAATTTATTTTAAAAATACTTCACTTAAAACAAATAATTAAGTAGAATTTCAGAATGTTAAGATTTCTAGACAAAAGGATCTCGCAGTAATGAAAGGTACACCAACCTGACTCCACCACTTCAGCTCCATCACTATCATGAACACTGTCCACTTTCCTTTTCTTGTTTCCATCCCCATCATCCAAACTGTCATTGTTCACATCAACTTCCTCTATACTCTCATCACTGGAATAACTGCGCTTTCTCTTCTGTGAACCAAGAGACGAGTTTCGCTTAAAAACAGGAGAGATATTGGGGCTGTCAAAAGGGGTTATTGTAAGACTCTCTGGTGATGTACTCTTTGAAGGGGATATATTATGGGGTACTGGAATTTGCCCATATCTGCCACTAGAGGGTGCTGAAAGACTGGGCTGTGTCTTGTCTTTAAGAGGAGGTTGAGAACCACCATGAATAGGGGGCGCTGCACCTGGACTGTCATTATCCTTCACAAAGCTTTCCTCAACAAACTCCACCTCATCATTAGAATCTGACTCATTATCAGCACCATTCTTGGTTTGAATTTGAGATCTTGTTTTCTCTTCGTCCTCCCTGTGCCCAATTCCAAAAGAAAAATGATTACCTGCATTGCTCTCCTTCTTTAATGCATCTCCCATTTCTGACGTGCCAAAAGTGGGTGAAAGTGGGGGTGTAGGTGGAGAAGAGGGTGGGGTAGAGTCCTTATGTTGGCTTTCTATGGGTGATGCCAAAGTGTATGAACTCTTTCTCAGACCACCAGATGGAAACATGACCACAGGAGACAAAGACTGGTCAGTGACAACATTTATAGCCAATTTCTCATTATTTTTCCCAGTGGGAGAGTGAGATGAAAAATCAAGTTTCATTCGGCTTGGAGAAAACTGCAATGTCGATTTAGATGTCCAGTCATCTTTTCTTGTTTTTACATTTTTTTGTGTACCACTTGGAAGACTATTGTTTATGACAGATTTAGCACCTCTGAGGTTCTTTGGACAAGGACTTCTGGCTTTTGTAGAGCTCTTCACACTGTACACAGCTGTGATGGGTCCAACCTTCCTCAATGGAGAATACTTAATGTCTTGAACTACGGGGTTCCTTTCATACATCTTGTTAACAGGTGATGCTAAAACCTTATCAGAGCATGGGTCATTTTTTACCTTGGTCAGAGTGTGGCCATTCTCAGGTGTCAACTGAGTGTCGGCAAACATATCAGGAGTGCTGAATAAGGAGCAGCTGGACGCTGCACTGGCCCTTCTTGTGGTCAGCGGGGTATGACTTTCAATTTGGTCTCTATCATACATACTGTCTCTTGATGGTTTTGCTGACGGAGAATTGACTTTCTTTGATGAGGATCTAATTTCTTTGTCAATTTTGCCATCTCCACAATTCAACTCTTTTAAATCTCCATTCTTTAAAATGTTATCAAAAGAATCTTCATCATCAGAATGCACATCAATTATGTCGTCTAAATTTTCAGAGGTTAATCCATCTTTATCAACAGGAGAGATAAGTTTATTTCGATGTTTACGCAATTTCTGAGAACACTGTAAGTCTTTCTGAATGAGTGTTCTTTGAGATTTAAGGATTTTTCCAGGGCTAGTAACAGAGGAGGTCCTTTTTACATTGGAATTGGCATGTAATTGATCTGCTCTCCTCATGCTGTCCATGTCGGATAGATTTTTTCTAGTAGGACTGGTTAAGGAGTTCAACGACTTTCTCGGACTGCCAAAAGAGACAAATGGCAATTGATTTTTTGTCTTCTTTGGAGAAGGTGATGTCTCTGGAGAATTCGGTTCAACTACCAACATGCCTTCACTGGTAATGACCCCATCATCTCCACTGTCTGAATCTAAAATTTCAACATCTACTTTCTGCTTTTCGTGTTCATCTTTTTCATTATCCCAGGAGCCTAAAATCATGTCATAATCAAAGCTATTTTCCCTAATATCCTGAAGAGCATTGTTTTCAATATCACAGCCTGAATGTTTATTATCAGTTAAAACACTTTCAGTCCATTCCTCTTTACTGTGATTTTCAGAGTCTTCATCCATTCTATCCATTAAGACAAAATCTTCCTCCTGTCCTTTCTTCTGCAGACTATGGGAGTCTAAAACACTGTCAATTGAGTCACGTCCAGAATCTGAATTCACATCATAATTCAAAAAGGATAACTGTTTTTTCTCTTGCTCTTCAATGGGCATCATATTTTGATAATCAGAGGATATCCCAGGTGTTTTGTTCATTTTTGATAGTACTTCTTCATCAGTCAAACCCACAAATGTGTCATGAGATCTTGGACTGATTGCTGGTATTTCTACCCTATTTTTATCCATGGAAGAATCACAACTGACAGCGTGACTAGAATTCTGGGAGGATAATGAACCCTGTAAAAATTCTTCTAGGTCACTGTCATCAGTGTCGTCTGCCTTTTCATTTTGCAAATTGCCTGACATCTTCCTCTGTCTTTGTGTTGCCATTATGGTGTATAATTCCTCCATCTCTTCCTCTTCCCTCTCCTTATCCACTTCCTCTTCGTTATCTTCTTCAGCATCAGTACCACTTCTATCTTCATTTGATCTAAGGTCATCTTGGTCAACAGCGCCATCTTTTGAATCAAAATCTTCTTCATGCCAGACTTCCTTCAGTAACTTTTTAATGTTGTTCTCAGCTGTGCTGGGACCACTATTCTTCTCAGTTGCCATTATTTGATTACATGCCTCCATTAACTCCTGTAGATGAAACCTACAAAGGAAAACGCTCAATGATAAAGAGGTGTATTTTATCACGTGTAAAAAGTAAATTGTGTACATTTGTTACAGAACCGAGACAGATATAAAAAAGCTTGGCAGGACAGCACACAAATGATACTTTGAATTAACAACATCCCATTACTAAGAGTAGCCTATTAAGGAAAAATAGTAAAAATGGTTCATAAAATCAAAGCCACAAAATACTCAAAAACTGGAGTACTATAACATTACTTTCTTATTGCATCAAAAAAAAAATTTTTTTTGAGGGAGGGACTTCCTTCACATTCAACTAAATTATGTGATACTTTTTCTAATCAAGCTTTACCAGCACTGATAACATACTAACCTTTTAGCAATATCACAGACTTGAGGTACAACCTGCAGGGCAATGTCCACCACACCAGTGTACAGATACCTGACCACACTGGACACCGCTGACGTAGTAAAAGTGGACATATCTAACACTGGCCCTGCCTCAGTGTGGGTGACATGCTAAAAATATACAATATACTGACATCAAATAGTGGCAATGTAATATAATTGACATAATAGCATATGCAGTACTAAAAAGAATGCATCTCTTGGAAGCTTCATCTGTAGAGGCATCCAAAACGATCCCACTTCTGAATCAGTTATTTTGTAATATGTTAAAAGGGCAAAGTGAAGAATTCTTCAACTTCCATAACTTAACTACCTTTTTTACAGTGAGTGTTAAAAAACATAACCCTTCACACATTGTGATCAATCATTGATAAACCTATTACAATCCACACTGACAAGAAATGACAC